TATATACACACACACACACACACACACACATATATATATATATATATATATATATATATATATATATATATACATATATATACATATATATATATGTATGTATGTGTGTGTGTGTGTGTGTATATATATATGTATGTGTGTGTGTATGTGTATATGTATATATATATTTATATATATATATATACATACATATATATACACATACACACACACATATATATATATATATATATATATATATACACACACACATATATATATATATATATATATATATATACACACACACATATATATATATATATATATATATGTGTGTGTGTGTGTGTGTGTATATATATATATATATATATATATATATATATATATATATATATATATATGGGGTGGGCCATTATGCAAGTTATTGTATAATGGTGGTTTGTTCTGTAGACTATAGAAAAAAATGCCTAAAGGAACTAATAATTTCAACCTTAAAATTGCTCTTAAAAAATTTAAAAAACGCTTTTATTCTAGCAAATAAGTTTCTCTCCAGAAGAAAAAATATTATCAGACATACTGTGAATATATATATGACTTATATAACCCATATCAAACACACCTGCCTGTAATTATCACATGGTGTTCAGGTCCTAATTAATCGGTTCAGGTGTGTTTGATATGGGTAGCAACTGAAATCTGCAGGAAGGTGGCTCTCCAGGAACAGGGATGGCCACCCCTGCTCTACAATTTGACAAATATTGCAGCTGTTGGGCAACATAATGTACTTTTGAGGCTTTTTTAGTCAAGAATGTTGTTTAAATTAAATATATGCAGTTTATTTAGAAGGAGTATTCAAAAATATTTATAATTTCTGGGAGACAGCGCGCATTAGCCTGTCTTTGAGCAAAGACGGTTGACGATGTTCATCCAAAAGATGGTGTCAGAGACCGCATAATTAGCCCTTGAATTGTAGTGTATTGAGTGTGAGATGGGACTCTCTTAAAGTCTTAAAACCATCGATGGCCATCGGTTTCTGAGTCTCCTATTTTTGCTACTGCAGACTAGTTCGGTAAAAAGAAAGAAAGAAGAAATGGCAGCATGTTGTTCAGCGTTTTTCCTTATTACAAACATAACAGTAATCTGCAAGTGTATGTGTTGCTGTGGCTTTTTCAGGGTTCATTATTGTGATCTCCCAATTGCAATAAAGAAATACTGAGAAATCTCTGTAGACTGATGGCATTTCATGCCGTTCAGCCTTATAATCTTAAAATGTGAGCGAAATTACTTGTTTTGTCATCACTTTAGACATTACGATAGAGAATCATTTAAACAATGTAAAGTGGCATTTGTGAATGAGTAATGGTTTCTGCTGTTTTGACGTCAGCTGCAGACGTGAATGAATGGTGGAAGAAAGTAGTTCCTCTAAAGGATTTTAAAACTTTGTTTAATTTTCTTTTTTATATATATACGATGATGCCGTCGAACTGTTTTATAAATGCACTATTACACTCGTAGCAGTGCGATATGACTGTATATCATCACTGGTGGGACACTAAGGCACTCTACTATACTATTACTATAAACACAATACAATACCGATGAGATTAATTGAAGTGTGATATGTTTAATGTGTGGTTTACAATTTTATATTTATATTTTTATGTGTGGTCAACAATTTTATGTTTTCCATGTAAATGTTGTATAAAACCCACCAAAAAAACCTAATTTTATGAACGGGCTCGTTACACTACAGTCAATGTTATTCTTTTACATTTGTTTGTAAACCTACTGCATTTTAAAATGCATTTCACTTCTTGTTCTAGCTTTATCCCTTACAACAATAATAATTATATTACGTTTTAATGATTTAAAATAGATTCTTTTGTTTTTGAATGTAGACTGAGAATGCTAATAAAAGTCTATGAAAGGGGTGCATTTTAGGCACCTGAGAAAACACCTGTTTGTTCTGTAACAGAAAATTACATGGGCTGGGAGATTTTCCTATGAACCATTTTAAATGTATATTTTATGACTAGTAATGTTTGATTAGTTTGTATTTTTTATGAAAATGCATACAAAAGAGTCTTTTTTTTTTAGGAGATATTGACTATCAAAAGATCATATACTATCATAACTTAATCAATTTACCTTGTTGTTTAAAAATCCTACTTAAACACTGTAAAAACAATTACAATGTTAAATATTGTTATTGAATGCCACTGTTATTGGCTCAGTAAATGAGTACAATATTTTTTTAAAGGTATTTATTAATGTCTTTGGCTTTAAGAGGGCTGGTTTAAATGTAAGGACCGCTGGTTTATACTTTTAAAAACACTAATTTAGTAAAGTAAAAAGTGATGTCCATCGCTTTTCCACTATTGCATAGATCCATAAGTAGGGGAAAGTGCGGACATTTGCAACACTTCTTGCATATTCTTTAGTTTCTCAGGTAGTTTTTTTTTTTATGGAAATCCAAAATGTCACCATTAAACAAATATCAATCAGAGACCCACCCATTATAACATATGATAATATATGCAGATTTTACACTTAAACAGACAAAGTCAAACAAATGACCCCTTAAATTTCTGTTTGTAAAAGGCAATAATAGTAGTAAAAGATAGTTTGTTTTTATTTGTTGACAGACTTCATTTAAATTAGTTACACTATTAAATTTATATGAAGACAGACTAGTAAAAAAATAAGTAACGACCATTTTTGGTCAACTAAAAGGCCTACAAAATATTTTACAAAAATATTTTTTATGGAAAATCTTGACTGAACCTTTACTAAACTATTCTTTGTACTTTGAGCTTGATGAATTCTTATTTGAAAATGAAAGTACAATAAAACTGTAATGAAATTACATTATCTCCCAAATAACTCGCAGTTCGCATATTTAGCCTATTTAGTTGGTCGTCTGCATGTTGTTCTGCTGTAGTGGTTCATTCTGACCAGCAGGTGCTGCTAAATCCATTAAAATGTTTGATAGTCCGAGCAACTGCAGTTTTATTTAGGGCTACATAATATTTAACAGTGAGATTAGCATATGTGTAGGATGGTATTTTGCACATTAAAAAGCATGGAATATACATGGTTCAGATCATGTAAAAAAGAAAAAAAGATTGCCTGCTAAAATAGCAAAAAGGCAGAGAAGCATTTGAGGCAGAGAACCATTTGCAGTGGTGTCCGAAACCATAGTGGACTTTTTGAAGTGCACTTAATCAATCCCACAATGCATCATGCCAAATTGCCCAAGGGATATTTAAAAAGTCTGCATGAAATTAAAATTTACTCTTCTATATGTTATTGTAGTGAACAAAGTATCTCTGCACTTTATTATTTAAAGAAAAATAATATTAAATTGCACTTATTTTTTAATCAAATACTATAATATTCCCCCCCTCTCGACTTTTCTTCACTTCTGGGAACATGGAATTCCTTTAGGGCAGGGGCTCTGTGTTCTTTAGGGTGGGGTTGTCAATGCTGTTAGGGTGGTGCTATCAGTGATTTAGGGAGGGACTGTCAGTGCCTTTAGGCCAGGGCTATCAGTGCTTTTCGGACGGAGCTATCACTGCTTTTAGGGTGGGGCTATTAATGTCTTTAGGGCAGGGTCATCAGTGCCTAGGAAGGGACTATCAGTGCCTTTAGGGAGGGACTATCAGTGCCTTTAGGGAGGGACTATCAGTGCCTTTAGGGAGGGACTATCAGTGCCTTTAGGGAGGGACTATCAGTGCCTTTACTGAGGAACTATCAGTGCCTTTAGGGAGGGAATATCAGTGCCTTTAGGGCAGGGTCATCAGTGCCTTTAGGGAGGGACTATCAGTGCCTTTAGGAAGGGACTATCAGTGCCTTTGGGGAGGGACTATCAGTGCCTTTAGGGAGGGACTATCAGTGCCTTTGGGGAGGGACTATCAGTGCCTTTGGGGAGGGACTATCAGTGCCTTTGGGGAGGGACTATCAGTGCCTTTGGGGAGGGACTATCAGTGCCTTTGGGGAGGGACTATCAGTGCCTTTGGGGAGGGACTATCAGTGCCTTTGGGGAGGGACTATCAGTGCCTTTAGGGAGGGACTATCAGTGCCTTTGGGGAGGGACTATCAGTGCCTTTAGGAAGGGACTATCAGTGCCTTTGGGGAGGGACTATCAGTGCCTTTAGGGAGGGACTATCAGTGCCTTTGGGGAGGGACTATCAGTGCCTTTGGGGAGGGACTATCAGTGCCTTTGGGGAGGGACTA